TTCTCATCACGAAAAATGAATACAATTAACATCGGGTTTTCATCTAGGTACATATTCTCAATTATCTCATAGAAAGGCAAACAGGAGCAGATAAAAATTGGCACGTAGATTCTGAAAGGTACCTAAACTGAACACCTCATAAAAATTTCGGCGCAAATAATGGCGAATATCCAGAGGTCCGGCTTTTCAAAGTTAGAATTTGATGTAGTTTTAATGGCATTTTTACAAAATTGCTGCACATTTAATAATCAAGAGTAAAAAAAAAAAAAAAAAAAAAAAAAAAAAAAACTTGAGCTCTTACTTCTAGGAGGTCCAGGCATTGAAAAAAAAATACAAATGCACACAGAGTTAACTGTGAAGGCACAGAACATACGAAATGTAAACACCTCAAGCGCGATGGTCCAAGCGGCTGCGTCCAATACTTGGTTAATCCCATCATTTTAATCACCTTACAAGAGGAAAAAGATACAAAAATTGGTTGATTGGTTGATTTGAAGTCCACATACGTCGAACTTCATGATTTCATAAAGAACTTAATTTTTCGAAAATCATTTTTTGATTTTTCCGACGCTAGATCGGGAGTTTAGCCCACTGGGAGTAGGAAAGAATTCCGAAAAGTGAATGGAATCATGGCGGAAAGCAACATCAGCTGCAAAGAAGCCTTAACAATCAAGGACTCTTAAAGCAATGACTATATATTTGGCAACAACAGCAGCAAATTCTCTAAAAGTTAAAAACTCCTACAGCACCTAATAGAAGGAACAGGTTCAGCCGCCTAGAATCAGAAGACTTTCTAGAACTCACCAGTTCCCGAAAAGCTAACACCATTACCAAACAACTAACCAGAAGTAAGTCTCACGATGGACTCTCCTACCCTGCAAAAAAAAAAAGAGGAGCGGACAACGATTCTCCAAGTGAGAGGGTCGAACACCTGAAAAGTCTAGACCCCATCCCTCCTCCGAAAACCTCCCATGAGGACAAAGAAGACTTCATCCATCCCACACCCTCTCCCGAACGAAAGTGACAACACAAGATCCAACCTAGAATTTGTAAGCCTCCAAAAAATTCAGTCAACCGTTTTCTGCTATGGACACATCGGATTCTCACCCCGAGCTCAACACCGACTTTCAAACTCCTATCCAATCAATGGAATCCGTACCCGTATTAAATACCAACATAAACAGTAATGATATTATTACCTCATTATCGACAACGGATTATGAGTTTTTCATTTCGTATCAGGTAATTTCTCACTAAATACACTAGCGCAGAATAACTCCTCCGTTCACATTATTTAACCAAATCTAATCTTTATCATTTTCATGTCATTTTCTCTCCTCTTCTGGAATATTCATACTGTTTGAGGAAGGTGTTGCCTTTGACATTAATGACTTTCTGCGCACATACCAGCTAGATTCATTTTTACTGAATGAAACATGGCCAACGCCTCAAGTTAACATTAAAACTAAATCATACTTAACACATAGCACCAACTGAGTGGACCGATGCGGCGGCCTACTCCCTAGCCACAAAAACATTCGAAAATCGGCACCAGTCGCACATTCAAGCTACAAATCCAATGATCCAACCTACCTAGAGAATTTCACCACAAAAATCATAGATAAAGACGATCGAAGTAAGGCAATTTTTTTTGCGAGAAAATTGTGCTCATATGAGCTTTTTCCCTCTGTATTGAGATTTTCAGATTTTTTAACGCTTGTTGGCAAAAAACTCAAACATAAATTTTCTTCATTAATATTTACACAACACCAAAATACAGAGGAGACTTCCTCCTTCTGAACAATTTTCTCTTGGAATTAGATACAGGAAAGGTGATACCACCTTAACTCTCACCACCCCACGTCGGGTTATCCGAACTCGGATAGAAAAGGCAGAGCCCTAATCAACATCTTCAATGACAACGATATGTTTGGATGCAACTCCTCTCTCAGTCCTGCCCCCACTAGAATAACTCACCTAGATCACACACCCAGTTTCACGGATCTAATCGTCATTAAAAATTCACTAGCAGCATTTACCAACATGGCAGTCCTGGAGGAAACGACCACCACCCTATAATGTTCTTCTTTAACTCAAACTTAACCCCTCTCTGCTCATCTAATCCATCAAACAGCCTTCCTTCTCCACTAGTCAATTGGAGGAAGTATGCAAAACTAGTGGAACAACAATTCAAGATAATAGAAAACGTCCAACGAAAGGATTATGACTTCTGGAACGCAGTCATCCAGTTTGCTCTCGAAAACTCCAAATTCACCACCTCCCCCCCCCCTCAAAAAAAAAACAACTCCAGGGCCCTTGCGCACCAGATATCAAAACACAAACGATGGTGGTCAGTAGAGCGAAAATGCAAAGAACCTCGAGGCGCAATGCCTAAAAAACTTCATATCTTTAAACTCCTACGAAGACCTGATTACTTATCATATCAGCTATAACAAATTCAAATTCACAGTAAGCAGTGCAAAAAAAGACAGCTGGCACAAATACTGCTCTACTATAAACAGGAACACTCCCACCTGTGAAATCTGGGCCAAACTAAAAACTCAACGCCTCTCCAAGAAACCAACCAGAGCAAAGACGACGCCTCGGTGAAAGACTTCTGAGCAAAATTCACTCCCGACTATGTAGAAACTGCCCTCCTTCCGATGGAAGTACTCAACGAAGACCCCATCTTATTCTCCCATGAATACTTCGAACAAATCCTTCTAACAATGCCAAAAGAAACCCCCCAGAAAAGGAGAAAATCACCGCCTAACTCCTCAAAGTACTCCCCTGTAACGCCAAGGTTTAACTTTCCCCGAGATTCCTGAACGGTGAATCTTAGGACCACTCCTACCGAATGGAATGAAGTCATAATAAAACCAATTTGGAAACCTGGCAAACCTGAGAATATATCCACCTCGTATAGACCCATAGCGCTTCTCTTCATCATCGAAAAAATTCTATGGGGATTCATTAAAGAACATGTGGAACATTACAACCTCTCATCTCCACTTCAATTTGGGATTCCGCAAACATCTATCCCTCTTTGACGACCGAAACATACTGAATCAAGAAATTCTAGAAGCTCTGGGCAAAATATAGGTTTTGAATGTGGTCTTTTTAGACATATAAGGTGCTCACGATTCAGTCTATATTTCCATCCTTATAAAGATGATGAAAATCATCTGCCCGATGATTTGTGGAAGGATCGATTCCGATGGTGATTTGGAGCCGCAGAGCACTCTAGTGCGCTGAGGTAGCGCGCATATATATATATATATATATATATATATATATATATATATATATATATATATATAAAACATTCATTTTCAAAATTCATTTTAAAAAACTGCAATTTTAATCTACCATCCAAAGAACAAGTTATTGACAAACGATTACAATTGGGGACCAACTGCCGCCCAGGAATTACTAATAACCCTCCTCTACTTCTCTCAAGGGCCCTTTCCCTCGAACCTTTTATCGCTCAAGTAGAATAAGCCGATAATGGACCGTATTTCTTCAAAACCTACAACCGTAATGCCTCTATAAGTGTCGCCTGTCGCCTTCCCCATCAAACGCAAAGGAGAATTGAATCAGTGAGTTTGAAAATACACCAACTCGATAACTCGAAAATACTCAATTTTCATTCAAGTCAGTCAATTTTTATAAAGGGTAAGAAGTTAGTGCATTTGTTCCAACTTGGACCTTGAACCTGTCCTTAAAACTTCTTCACCTACTGTGCAGTTTCGTGTCTTTCTTCATTACTTTCATTTTTCGAGTAGGTGTGTTTTCGTTCTCACTAATTCAATTAAGAGCAACGATACTCTATAAAGTTCATTTACTTACACCAATAGATCTTTTTCCCGCAAATCAGCGTCAGCCAACATTTTCTGCCCAGAACTAAATATAGCAAGAACACTCTTACTGAATAAACACCTTACAATCTTAGACGCTGAAATCAGAGGCATATCTGAGGCCACTGTTATCCTGCATGAAAAAAACCTTCAGGAAGCTGCAATATGTATGGATTTCAAGGGAGCCATTCAATCAATAGCAAACCTTAAGTCCTCCACAGATAAACAAGATTTACAAGATATCAGAAACTTCTTTCTAACTCATCCAAATGTCAGATTAGTGTGGACCCCGGGTCACGAACAAGTATGAAGAAACGAGGAAGCAGATAAGCTAACCAGAAACTATGAAAATGCAATTGATCGACGCCTTGAAAAAATCCATTACTCTAACTCTACCCCTTCTCTCAAGAGAAATATGATCCTCGCCTGCCAACAAGACTGCAAAAAATCCTCACAAGTCAAAGGAGCACGAGTCTTCAGCATCCAAAGCACAGTGTCAACCACCCCATGGCTCTTCAAAATCTTCCTCCCAAAAGATATCCTCTCCCGCACGAGAGTGGGCCACGGACGCTTCGCAGCTTATCTGAGAAGAATCAACCTGTGCGATTCCATCCTATGCTTCTGTGGACAAATTGCCACTATCGACCATATTCTTCTTCAGTGTAAACATCTCATTAACCTACAAACGCTCTTTGACCTACTGAGCCAGGCAGGCGTCTACTTCCTTACCAACTCAGCTGTGCTCCTAGCTAATCGATCCAAGAACAAATACTCTATTGTGAGTAAATTCATCCACGCCAACAAAGTGTTTGTTTGATTTTCAACTTCCACTACCTATAATAGGGCGAGTCGAAAAACATCGACTTTCGAATTTCAAAAATGTACAGGGGGAAAAGTTGCGCCTAGGCATCAAACTAAAGTGTGCCAAAGCGTTCCTCGGAAAAAAAATTTCATGAGGTGCCGCTTTTGCAATTTGTGTCAAAAAATCACGTAATTTAAGCTGTTTTCGCCGATTCCATTGCACTGTTTAAGCATGATAAAGATTGGCTAGAGCCCTGATTTTTGGAGTATCAACTCACTTCTAGTAGTCATTTAAGGTATGCTAATTAGTTTTTGGTTCAACATATTTTTGGTGCCCCCCACATGCCCTTAAAAATGCAAAAAACGCGATTGCGGCCGAATGCGCCTCGTATATTTCAACGATTGTATCGATTTTTTTAGGTGACTTGGCAACCACGCAAAAAGTCAATTTCGGTTTTAAGGAACCATCCTAGTTGCACGTAGTTGTTTATGCGTTTCCAGTTCTCTCTGTTCTCAAGCATGATGTCCACTAGGTTGTCCGGGTTAAGGGTGCTTCCCAGTTCCACTTCCAGCGCAACTCGCTCCTCTATGATCTTACTGCACGTGAAATAAGCGTGTTCCGCGTTGCCCTGTAGCCCTCCACACAGTAAGGGGAATTATTTCTAAACGGGACCTTCGAGGTTGAAAAATCAACTTAACTTGTATATGATAAAATTTTGTGCACTGTATAGGAAAAATCTTCAATTTTATGAAATGAGTTCACTTTTCATTTCAAGTTCCTAGATTCGCAAGGTTTTCCAGTTTTTCTGAAGGCATGTCGAGACCAGTGATTTTCGAGGTTATTTTTGGAGTAATTTTTATTCATGACACATTGCATCTTTATGATTTAAAATCACATGGAGTTACAGTTAGTTTCTTAAAATATCAAACAGCCTTCAAAAAGCAGAAAAGTCCAAATATATGCAATATTTTTCCTCATTTTGTGAAGGCATGTGAAAATGTAACGTCCGCAACAGAAAAGCTACTAAACTTTATGCCATTTAACGCAGGAGCCAGTTTAGAAGTTCGTGTTAAGTGAACGATAGGACACGATCTTCATTGATACTCCGGTAGTGTTAAAACGTATTTAGATACTTCAGTTATCATGTTATTCAAAGTCGAAAAAGTGTAACGTCCGCAACGGAGAGGACATTACAAGGCTCTAGCTAGAGGTAATCTCACATTTAACTTGTTTGATAAGCTCGTACTAAAAATTCAGGTACACTATAGCAACTCGATTATGTTTCAATTTATTTTCACTCATTAAGTGTGTTCAATTTTAAATTCAATTTCAGGACACGTTTCTTATTGTTTTCTTAGATAGTTGATACATTTGTCCTGATGATGTGCATTTAAATACAATTGAATTATTGATCGTAACTACTTTTAACCTCTCTTCGTGCTCGACTGCACGGTTATCGTGTTTATCCTGCTTATCCTTCCTACTATAACAGCGTCACTACAGTGCACACACGGGGGCCTATATCAGGAATGCGGTTTATTGCTGCTATCTATCGATGCCCACACATTATTATGTAATGTTTTCGTGTGCTGCGAAAAATTCGCAGGAAATTTTCTGGGCAGTGCACTTTGGCCAGTTTTGGATTTTTTGGGGATTGTCTAGGTCAAAATTTTTTACACCGCCTGAGTTCGATGGAGTGATTTTCACAGGCACCAGCACCCCCACTTTTGAAGGTGGATCCCCCATGTTTCCTACCAATGGGGGCAGTAGGGGCCTCGGGAGGATGAAATTCAGATTCCTTGGGGGTCAATTGCCTTTTCATTTCTGCCATATCCGACTTCGGTCGACCTAAAATAACTAAATAAATAGCACTATATGGGTGATCTAGGACACCCTGTGTTTTTCTTAAAAGGCTCGTTTTCATACTAATGATAAACGTAACACCTCTTAACTTTGCTGTTCTGTTCATTTTCACAAATAATTTGTGCTTGAATTTATTTTTAGATCGTATTTTAAAGATAGAAACGTGGCTCTACCATCACCTCAGATATTTACTTCGGAAAGACTCTCACAGCTATTCGTACTGAATTTAAGGTGACACTTATAGACTGTTGTGACAATTGGCTTTCCTAATTCATGCTATTACTTTTTAATTCAATAACTTCATAAACTGCGAGAGTTACAGCCTATTTTAGGTACAAAGTTCTATGGCTGTAACGCCCGCAACAAAGCCTTGTATCGTCCGCCATAAAAGTGGCAATATCTCAACAAAATCAAATAAACTTTATTTGAGATGGATACTTCATTGAAAAGTAGACTTAATGAGACGTTACCAGGGCTAACCAGAATTTTGATAAAGTACATAGTTTCTATAAAAATTGAAGTCAAAGTAAGGTCCTAAAAAATGAGAGGCCTTCTTTGTAACGTCCGCAACGGCCTTCTTTGACCCGTTACATGCATTGTACATAATCTTTTTAGACAAAAGTTTGCAGCATGATAGAGAGAAAGGTACATTACTCAGTCTTCGAAAAATTTTGAATTTTGTGGGCTAAGCAGACCAACTTACGGACAGTTTAAGGCATAGAATGTAACGTCCACAGCTAAAATAATTCCCCAGGAGAGTCTTTGCAAAGATAATCCCAAGCCCGACCCCCCCATAATTCAATTTGTTTTTTTAAAATGGACGTTATCTTTTTGATTTGATAGTCACATGTTTCATCATGATTCATTGTTGTTATCAGCAGAAAAATTGTCACGTCCACATCCCTTTCTCTAACATTGTTTTTATCGGTTGTTTCAGAATGTGTTTGGATTTGATATGTTCATGTGAAAATGCCTGGTTTTTGCCATTTCAATCCCCTTTGAATGAAGCAGCCGGAATGCTCAACTTACTCAATCTCTTTTGATGAAAGTTTGAATACTGTTGTTGTCAAAAACCAACTGGACATACTGGTTCGCTTTTTTAATTGAGCGACCCTGCTTGTCGAAACTCGTTATTTGACATCAGTCTTTCTTGGACACATCCAAGCTACAAACCTTTTACCAACAATCACAAATGCTCTTGTCAATTTAAACCTCAGATTGAAGAAAATCCAACACGTAAGCACAGATGCTCCAAATGTAAATGTAAAACTGATGATGGATTTATGCTGTTATCTGAAAGATCTGTCTGGTGAAGAGGCTCCAGAGCCGTTTGAAGCAGGAACTTGCAGAATACATGCAGTGCATGGCACATTCGGCACAGGAATTGATGAGACTTACATGGGCCATGGGGAAAGACTTTTTTAAAATGTTCTCGACAATTTCTTTATAAATGGCCAGCTCAAAAGGCAAATTTTGTTCATATGACAGGTTCGGAAATTTTTCCCTTAAAATTCTGTCACTGAATGGGTAGAAAATTAACCAGTGATAAAACGACATCAAGCCTTTTGTTCTAAAACTGAAGTAGATAAATTGTAATCTAAAAATGGTAAACTGAATAAAGTAAAAAAAAATTATCTGATGATTTTCTAGTGCCTACTCTGAATTTTCTTTTATCTGTCACTTTGGAGTTGGAACCATTTTTGACTTTCTTTCAGTCAGATGTTCCTCTGTTTCCCTTGCTGAATCAAGAGTCTGTAAGATTAGAAACCGGATTTTGGTGATAACTAGCCCATTCTGCGCCCGAATTAGGTTTCCTTGGACTTTTCTGATGGCTAATAACAAACTGGCCAACGCTACATTCACAGATTTTGTTTATTCAGTGTTCATTCTGTGTCACCTTGAATACGAGCAAGTCAGGTGCGTTCTGCGATTTTCATCATACGATCGCTGATAGAGCAAAGATTTAACATTAGATTACTTCAAACTTAATTTAATAATACTTTTGGTATGCTAAGTAAAGTTTACCAAGATCATTGTATGAGTTGTTTTAACTGTTTTGAGAGGGTTAAAAGGTGCAAAACTGGCCAGGAGTCAGTCCAAGATGAGTAGCACGGGAATCGACCATCAACAGCAACTGACATTTGCCAAAAGGAAGAAGTGTGGGCAAAAGTGCTCGAAAATGGTCGTTTCGAGCTTGCTGAACAGTGTAATATTTCTGAAGGCTCTGTACGTACAATTTTGATAGAATATGTAGACATACATCGATTTTCAGGTACACTTGCCCCTTGATTGTTGTCTGTTGAACAAAAATCCAACCAAACGTCAATTTCCCTTTAGCTGCTTGAACGTTCTGACAATAATCCTACATTTTTTGATAGGATAATTTTCGGTGACAAAACTTGAGTGTACGGCTACGATATGAAGACGAAACTCAAAGCATCCTTGTGGGTTGAAAAAGGTGGTGCTAGACCGAAAAAAAAAGAAACGAGTTCGATCAAACATGAAAATCGCAGAACACCCATGAGGTTGCCTTACTTCAACCCAAATACCAACGAAGCAAATTAGGATTTTTCAAAGTTGTGAATGTAGCATTCTTAAGTATATTTCCAGCTATCAGGAAAGTTCAAGAAAACCTAATTCCGACGCATTGTGGGCTAGTTATCACCAGAATCCGGTTTCTAATCTAACAGACCTCGTAATCCTCGTTCTTCAGACCCTTGCAGATAGATTTGGACCGCGTTAAACAGAAAGGAACCAAGCCACATCAGCTATTGCCAAATTTAATTGGCTAATTTAATTTTTTACATGAAAACAGTTGCGCGGATTTTCGTGCAAATTTCAGTGAATTTTCGACATCGTACGAAGCAAATTCCTTAACATTTTCAAAGGGATCCACACAAACGTTTTCTCGTAAAAAATTAAATTGCCCAATTAAAATTGGCAATAGCTGATGTGGCTTGGTTCCTTTCTGTTAAATGCAGTCCATTTATTAGGAAAGAAGTTTTAGACAAGGCAAACACAGCAAAAATGTTAGTTTGTGATGATATTTCAAAGAATGAAAATCTATTACCAGTGACACAAGTTGATGCCCTAGCATGGAGGAAAGGTGAGTTGCAAAAAACTCAAGGAAAAGTTTTAATGATTCAGAAACCAATGTCGCGCTTTTCTTATTAATTGTTGCTCTAAGCTGGTTGATGAAAGTCCATTAAAGAACGATATTACGAGAGGTGCATCATGCATTTCACCCCTTAGGGTTATGTCCAGCTCCACTCTCAGTTTGTCGTGGTTAGAGGTAGCCTTAGAAGAGTTTACATATCAGAAGCAGATGGCAGGTTATGTAGCTTATATTGTTAAAAAGAAGTACATTTACCTCCAAGAGAAAAGTAAAAAAGAAATTAAAACAAGCGGGAAAGCTCTAATATGTGGGGATTAGAGAAGCGCTCAAAAGGCAATTTTAATGAGTCTCAGCTTAAATTAACTACCTTTTAACTGAGTATGTTTAAATTTGCAATAATAACATTAAGTAATTCATAATATATTAATAAAACATCTAAAATGGTGCTTTGCCCCCCCCCCTCCCACCAAAAAAAAAGAAAAAAATTCCAAGATCCATAAGAAAAAATAGTGATCCATTATTTAATTATTGGAATATTAATTCATAAGAAATCCTTGATTTCTCATAAAAACAGAAAAAACTATTACGGCTCAAACAAAATGACTTTTCTAGAACACTTAAAAAAAATGTATCAAAGATGAACGTATCACTTAGCGAAGCCAAATTAGTTGTTTTAATGCTGCCCTACTTGGACAAGTAAAAAATATTTTAGGTAAATAAATGAGAGAAATATAGATATCATTAGGTAAATGATGAGACAATAGACGAAATCAATCAACTACAACTGAGTACTGAAGATAACTTTTCGTGAATCGGAGGCACCAGGTGTCCGGTTCGTCGGCCGGCCACTAGGTTGCAGCACACTATGCTAAAACCTTCTAATGACCCATGATCAAAGACAACCTCTCCTCTGTTTATTCTCTATGATGATACTATGTCTTCAAGATAACAGGATAACAATAATCTAGTACGTAAATAGAGAATGAGAATTCCTACAATATGTACCAGAATAATAACCAGGGTAATATAAACGGAAATTACATTCATTTTTTCCTCCTCATATTATGTTGAGCTATAGTGAAAAATCTTTCTCATTTTCCTTTCGCAGTTTTCCTTCTGACGGCAGATTGTTTATTTTGTTCTCCTGAAATCCTAGCTTTCATTTAGTAAATTCGTAATTTCTCATATATTTTAGGAATTTGAATGCGTTTACTGTAATTTCTGGCCAACCAAAGGCAGAAGTTGCCTCTACGCCTTAATTTATAAAGATAACTTACGTTCTGTGTAATTAATAAACCATGCTGGCCCAAATATCTGAAACCCTCTGCTGTGATAACACTCGAATCAGTCACTGTAACAGGGACATTAATATCTTCAATATGTCTTCAATGTAATCAGTAGGTATATCGTAGGTATAATCAGGTGAGTAGGTATATCGTAACAAGTCGACAGTGAAACTACCAGACCACGTATCTCGTTTGCGGTGCTTAAAAATCTCCGCTCCCATTTTATTCTTTTGACGGAGAACAAATCAATTTTGCTCCTTGGTTTTTACAGAGTTTTCTTCGCACAGAGAAGTAAAATTGCAGAAGTTTTTAAAAATTGATGTTGGTTGGTTTTCCGTGTAAAGAAGAAGGTATGAAGGGAAGTCAACAATGTCGCAATCCGAGATACGTGGTCTGGTGGTTTCACTGTCAAACTGTATTTTACAGAACTTACATTGTGAGTATGGAGCTGATCACTAGAATTACAATGCATAGTTATGTAGGATAAAGGTGATTGCGACAGTATTCGTCATGAATGTTACATGACACCTGCAGAAAAGATCGGTGGTTCCTCAGTGATTAAAAGGACTCGGGGGTTGGTAGGTTTCATTGAAACGCATGATTCTTTCATGTATCTGTTGAGGCATGGATTTTTGGCCTGCTGAGGAGTTGAGTAAATTAGAAACCATACTCATAAGCTGATAAAGTTAGGAGGAAACACGATCAAACTGTAGAACTTTTGAAACTTTGAGAATGTAAACAAAGACTCAACCTCAAAAAACTTTCACAATAATATTATGAACTCAATTTACAAAAAGTCTCGGTGGTTCATGAATTTTTTAATCAAAGCTATAGTTACTCCAACTGGATGAGAGATGGCCGTAGTGATCATTTGACGAAATGGGTATTCTACTTTAAACTACCTAATCTCCAATTTCTGCCAAGGGAACTTTTCTTGCTATTAATGAAGGATTATTTTTTTAGGAACTCAATGGAAAAATACAAGGACGTTCATTCGCCTATATTTTGTACCTTTCCTTACCTACCTGTAAAACTTAACTCTGTCTTAAAACTGTCAACTTAAATCTTTTAGATTTTCTTATCCACTCGCAAGACCAAATTCTATATCTTGGGTCACAGATTGTTGAATCGACCAAATGGTATCTTCAATCTAAAGTGACCGGCAGGGATACGCAACCGATGCAAGGTTTTTTTCTTTTTTTTTTTTCTTTTATTTGCACAAAATAAACGTACAAAGTACACTTTTAGACATCTATTATGTCTATAAAAAGCTTAGTTGATCTTTGAGAATTATTACTTAACTAAATTTACAAATTTTAACAATATAAAATACTACCTCAATGTATCAAGGAGAAAATGAAAAACATGATTACTACAAAATAAAAATGTCTTTTTACTTTAGCCAAATGTGGACAACCACCCACTGTGTGTGCGTGTGCGTGTGCGTGTGTGTGTGTGTGTGTGAGGGTGTGTGTGTGTGTGTGTGTGTGTGTGTGTGTGTGTGTGTGTGTGTGTGTGTGTGTGTGTGTGAGGGTGTGTGTGTGTGTGTGGTCTAAGTCCAAAGAACCTCCGATCATGTCCGAGGAGCAAGAGGAGGCACGTTTTATTGATCTCTTTCTTTACGGGAAAAATTTTGTGAGCCCCTGAATTCCAAGCTTGTGGGGCTTTTTGCGTTTTAGTCTCCTTCTGCATTGGTCCAACTCCAAAAGAGCAAGTGCTTCTGGGTCAGGGTGTCGATGAAGTCGGGCTTCTTATTGTTGTACATCTTAGTGATGTAGTCCTCTACCGAGTCTATGTCGAGGTCAGCCCGAATATCTGCGTTTCTCTCAAACCATCTTGCTTTAACTATGCCTCTTAGTATTTTCATTTGTATGATTTCGATTTTGTCGAGATTTGACTTGGCTGCACAACCCCACAGTTGGCAACCATAACTCCAAACTGGCCTCAACATTGACTTATGGAGGAGCAGTTTTAGTTGAAGGGATAACCGTGATTTGCGGCCTAAAAGCCACTGCATATTTGCAAATTTCAGGCGCAGTTGATCAACCTTTTTCTTTATATGTACTCCCCACTTGAGCCTGGAATCCAAGTACAGACCTAAATATCTAGAAACTTTATCAGAAGGAATTTGGATTTCACCCAATAAAAGTGGAATGTGGGTGAATGGTCTGTTAAAGAAAACAGCTTCTACAGATTTGGAAGCGCTCAGTTTGGTTTTATCTTTAACTAGCAGGAAACCCG